TGGGATTGCTCTGCAGGTTTGGCAAAACCAGAGCGAATCAGTCAGGTTGATTGGTCTCTGTATTTTACTTGGTTTAAACCATCACAAAGGGATTAGAACGGACGGGGGCAAAATTCACAAATACTGTCTCGTTTAACCGGGAGTACACACCTGTGCTTGCTACATTTGCTATTTGGTGGAATTAATTTAAATGTAGGCCGTTTTGCAAACGAAAGCTGCCCTTGTTTGGTCACATGAAATAGTGACGCTTGCGTTCTTTGTAGGTCGCACTCTCTCCCTCGGTTACCGTAGGCGAGTGTGCACTATGTGGACACATGTGCACGAAGTTTGACTTGCTTACTGATTCACACTGGTTCCTGTGGTACAAAGCCGATGGAAGTGGCTTCCAGTGGGTGAATGACAGCGAAACTTGCCGGCCATAGGCGAATGCCACAGACTGAGTAGTAGATTCTTTATTAATGATCCTATGGATATAATTCCATAACCAAGAGATAGGACGGAGAGTACTTACTTGATCACAGTACTGATGCAGCACAAACTGTTAAAAACGACAGAGGGACGTGTCTGGATAATAGCACAATGCACGCTTAAACAACTTGGGTAACACAAACTACTTTTCGTGGGATATAATTCCTTAACAAAATGCCCATTGAACACGGAGAGTTAATCTGATTCGAATAAGTGTATGATGACTGCGCTGTGTGAAGAGGAAGAGGTGAAACGCTGTGACAGCAAGGAACACGTTTACGTTGCGAACAGCCAGGACTGGGGCTTACCAACATTTGAACTGTTGAAGTCAAACCGTATACTTTCATCTTATCATCACATGACCACAATAGCTTGTGTATTTTCAACTAAAGTGGTTTCAGAACAAGAGTCAGCGAACAAGCTCGTTTTCGGTGGATCTCGTCAGGCTGGTACAACACAAGTAATAAGAATGAAATGAGTTAAAACATCAGACGGGAGTAAAGTTCAAAGGGCAAAAATTAAAAGGTCTAGGTCATCTAACTGATAAGGTCAAGTGCTTGGTTCACAAACGATCAATGGCATGTCAGCCGCAAGTTTCTCAGCAGGGGTTACTGTAATAGGGGGCCAGGGAAGAGAGAGAATCTGAACGAATCGTTTTTGTGCACATAAGTCTGGGTTCTGGAGGCGGATGGCGATCGCTTCGGCTATTGCTAATAGGCGATATCTTACCGCTCGTGTGAAGCATCCAGATACGCGGTAAATTGGCTGAAAACTTTGGTGCCTATCAATCCGGTGGTTAAAATCAACTAGATGTGCCAACACGGAGCTTGTCACTGTATTAGTCCCAACTAAAGTGGTTTCAGTAGAGAGTTTGGTGGGTATCAGCCTAAATGAAGATAAAAGGCTGCATTGCAACATTACTGCTATAGGCTGGCTATTGGCCGATCATGACGCTACCAAGCATGCTGGATCTGAAAGTATGCACTCAATGGTCCTTTAGTCAATACCTGCCAACATCCAGCCTTCCATCACTAAGCAGTTTAACATGTCGCTACCCCCAGGTAGTTACCGAGCGACTAACAATGCAAAGTCGTGAAATCAAGACCGAGTGTCAGTGTTCCAAGCAAAGTGGACAAATCTCTCTGATTTCTTTGGGCGTTGTTTTGATTGAAACAATTTAGATAATCGCGAAGAATAGTTTTGTACGTATTTAAGTATCAAAAACTTTGTTGACTCCAGTACAGCATGTTATCCTGAAAGGACGAAGATACATCATTAATTTGCTCAGTACGAAGGACGAATGTCTGCATGCGCTGAACAAAGAGAAGTCGGTCAACGTCATTCACATTAACTGCAATGAAGCATTTGACAAGGTGACTGGCAATCTTCTATTCCACAGATTTTGGCTAGGTGCAGTTGTTGGCCGGCTGTACCAATTTCTCGGGTACTTCCGGGTTGGTCGAATGTGAAGGTTCCATATCTACAATCGTCTGACAGACTGGAATACCTGTCCGAAGACAATATATTGGGGAAAATTGTATTATTTATCAATATAAACGATATACTTATTTCGCGTCGTTCACTTTGTGCTCTTTTGTATACGACTTAAACCTTTACAGAGTAATAAGTGCATTTGACGGGTGCAATCTTCTTCAGCGTCAGCTTGGCCTCATCTCCATGAGATTTACCGAGGTCAACATTTTAATAAACGCACTCAAGCCGCTATTCATTAGCCATGGTAATGCTGGGCATGGTGGAAATTGCACTATGACCAGTCTAACATTAGCTTCCACGACATTCATTAAAAAACTCGGTGTACTCTCGCGCTGCGACCTAAAGTCGTCGGTAGCCTGAATAGGCATCATCGAAACTGCTCTTCTGCTTACCGTTGTATCCCCGGGTTGAAATAACAGGATTGTTTGTACAGAATGTAGCCAACCTGCTCATCTCCCGTTATGTAGTAAGTCGTACAAAGAAGATTGCAGCAGTCTACAACTTCTCATTCCGTTATGTCGTCGAGTACTGGTTGATATCATCATGACGTACCGCAGATTACATTTCGGTTATTAACCCATACTGGGCCTGCTGCTCAATTTGCAGGTAATAAGGAACACAAGACGATACCGGTACAATCCATTTTTACCGCAGTTACAGCGGGTCGCTCATTGACACATTTTCGAATCGAGTGTATTTTCCAGTAAACCGGCGGCTGTTCCAGTACCGGCACAGCTTGCGCAAGTCTTGCTCGACAGCCTACAATGTGATGCAGTCGAAGTACATCAGCTACTCGTCAACCTCAATGGTGCAAAGCCCCCCGGGCCAGACGGACTTCACCCACTAATACTCAAGTCCCTATCGATTATCATCTCACCAGTTGTGACAAACCTTTTCAATAGATCGCTCTCTGAAGGATCCGTCCCGAACGACTGGAAATGCTCGATAGTGAGACCGCTTCCCAAGGGTGGTGATCCGAGTAAAATAGAGAACTATAGACCGATCTGTTTGACTTCGGTATTATCCAAAGTTCTCGAGAAGGTTGTGAAAAATGTCTGCTGTCTTTCTTCGAATCGATGGACGTATTGACGCCAGCGCAACACGGCTTTACGAAAGGGCGATCCTGCATCACCAACTTGATGTACGCAAACCCCCAGTGGGTTCGAGCTCTCAATGAACAGAAGGATGTTGACGTGGTGTACATCGACTTCACTAAGGCGTTTGATAGAGTGAACCACGAGGTACTCCTTCGTAAACTGAGGACATATGGAATGGGTGGCACGTTACTTCAGTGGATACAAGAGTTTATTGTGGGACGAAGGTTTAGAGTACAGGTCAATTTTTACCTGACAAACTGGTTTCCCTTGACCAGTGGCGTGCCTCAGGGAACTGTACTTGGGCCAGCATTATTTCTTATTCATATCAACGATCTTCCGCAGCAGCTCCAGTCACCATGTGCCCAGTTTGCAGATGATTTGAAAATCTGGAGGATCATTGAAAACCAGGACGACTGCGCTCGCCTCCAGCATGACTTAGAGCGACCGCCAACGTGGTCCACTGAAATGCAACTCCCTCTTAACGCAAGCAAGTCGGAGTTCATCAATATCACCAGACGTCCAGCCACTCGATCATACACCTTGGACGGCCAGTTGCTCCATCCCAACACATCTGTCAGAGACTTAGGAGTTCTCTCACGACAAGACATGAGATCACTAGAAAATACAGAGAAATTTTACCGTGCGGGACTTCATATGCTCTGCGCATTACGACGCAGTTTCTCCTCATGGTCCGAAGAAACCCACTTCGTCTATTCACCTCGCTCATTAGACCAATCCTTGAATACGGTGCCACAGCTTACCATCCGATAACCCATTGGGAAACTGAAAAACTGGAGAAAATACAGCATATCGCAACTAGAATGATACCAAGTCTACGAAAGCTTCCATATGAAAAACGTTGTGAAATGCTAGGACTCTACACACTATCCTATCGCCGAGTAAGATCTTATTATGACCCATCGAGTACTACACTTGAATCACTTCCCCATACTGCGGCCAACATTTCACCTGCGAGAACCCTGTAACACCCGAGGACACCGTTGCAAACTCAGGGTCCCAAGCATTAACAAAGTATCACATCAGCTTTATATCGAAGGAAGAAACGTAAACTTATGTAGTACACTACCAGAAGGATTAGTAGAGGCCGATTCTGTGAAGTGTTTTAAAACCCGTTTCGACGATTATTTTGGAAACCTGTGCTTTTGTGAAACGATGCACATACATTGCCAAAAGAAGACATTGTATGTCCGGAAATAATGACGCTAGTAAAATTTCTAACCGAACACGGATAAACGATTAACGGACCAGACACAACTGCTGATAATTCACAAGTAAATTTTGATTTTTCGTAATTCGATAGAGTTGTACAGAAACCTTTCTACTTGCTCTTAAATACAGTCTCAGTCTCAATACATGGATCAACTTGGCGCTGCACATTATGTTAGAAAAGTCGGTGTAGGCAATCAAGAAAATCTTTGACAAACGCTTCGCTAAATGAAATGTCGAGGATGATCGCCTGCACAGCTTTTATTAGAATATCCGAGGAATTTTCAATGCAGTTACATATAATGCTCTTATTTATGCTGCAATATAATTGTAAGTAATGAGTAGCCATTTCCATGGAATAAGAGAGATATAGGGTTCTACAAGTTTAAATATTTGAAGGCAGGCTCGTATTCATCTTGAATGTTGTTGGTTTACATGTTTATCCTTGGTGACACATTTGTTGTTAAGTCCAAGATAAATTACAAAGACAATTCTATTTACCAAATGTCAAGTGTATGATATGCACGACTTTCATATGTACTGAAAGAAAACAGGAAATCGAAGCTGGATACAAAATGGAAATCAACATTTTGGGAGTTTTTGAAGGTAATCTTAGAAGCATCTAGAAGGATTAAGTGGCCATGTTCACGAATTCGCATTTGCTTGCCAGGTGTTAAATAATACTTGGATCATCATCTTCGATGGCATTAGGACTTATACTCGTGTTCTTAGTTCATCGATCGGCTGTAAAATAGCAAATAATTGATTGGTGTTGAAAATAGCCGCAATGGCGTTATTGGACACAATGACGCATGTTAGTAGAACAGGTTAGATGAGGATGATAATAGTGTCGTGATTATTATCAAAAATTATAACATTCCAAAATCTGGAGCATACAAACTGAAATGAAAGTTCTGTGGATCCTAATGGCTTATAAGTTTAACGCATTGAGGGATTTATTAAAGAACCTAATGTTGTTGGAAATATTTGGTGGACGACGCTAAATGTCGTTACTTCATCTCAAACTATTTAAACTAAAACAAGTGAAATCGGGACCAGCTGCGATAGCATTGGTTTGGATGTTTGTAAAGATGGAAAGCGAAGACGCCTTAAAGAAAAATGCTTCTGGCATGAAACGTTGCCTTCTGTATCCATTCCTATCTCTCTTTATCAAAATATGGTTTCTGTTAGTATCCACTGTACGCACTGGCTTCTCTTAGACCAAAATATTATTCAGCGATTTAACCGTATTTGAAGCTTGAAAGCTGCTATTTCAACCTAAGGTTTTCTTACTTCTCGTATAATCTTCTTTTGGTAAACTAAGCAGTAATGAACAATATAAACTTAAGCAATTACATGGCGCAAATTGTGCAAAGCTCCATTCGGATATGATTAGGAACGAAACTATTGGCAAGAAGAATTCAACAGCTAAAGAGGCATTCATTTTCTATTTCAGCATGTTACACAATTGAAATTTGGCTATTTTTGTGAGAGTCATTCTAAAGAGGAGGCAATGCCTGTGTTTCAGAGGTCTAGTCTAGAAATGGGTGTTTGAATGCCAGTTTTTCCGTCTTAATATACTCAAACTTATTTCAACAATTTGCGAGCCGTAGAAGAATATGTCGAGTTCTTCAAATATTCGTTGCAGTCTGACTAAGCCAAACAACTACCACACACCAGCAAAGAGCCAGACGACCGTTTATTCCTACTGAGACTAGTCAGCAGTGCGCACCCGCCGAATCCGACTGGATTCGAACCCATTACCTTACTCTTGCGAGCTGATGACTTATGTCAATGAGTCATGGCTGCGGATGATACGCCCCATTGGTTGATATATACATCGATGCAACGCGACACATCCTGCCCTGTCATGCATTTTATGAAGGTGTAGATTACAGGGCTGGTACCCAATAACACGACTATCTGTGCATGCCGCCACCAGTGGAAGTGGAATGCTAGTTGCTAGGGCTCAGCGACATAATTCGCTAGTTCGAAATAGTAAGTTCATGTGTTCGAATCCGGTCGATTCTGCGGCTGCGCGATACGGATGGTCGTCTAGCGGTTTCCTGTATGTGTGGTGTCTGCCTATCTGGGATAAACCGCCACCAAGCTTCAATATTCGCAATAAGTCGATACACCACTCATTAATAATAAGTAAGCTCATTAGCAGCTTACGTACAACCTTAATTAGCAGCGAGTTGCAAAGAAATTGGAACTCTGAGGACAAGCCCTGTCATTTGCACCCTAATCTTATGTGTGTCAATGTAAGATGTGCGGCGCCGGATAGCAGTTAAAGTTCAATCATGAATCAATGACATAAGTCGCTAGCATAAAAGTGTTAATTAGTGTGTTCGAATCTAGTTTGATTTGGTAGATTCGCGTTAATGACGATTTCCAACAAGACGAAAGGGCTGTCTAGCATTTCCTGGATGTGTATTTGTTGTTTGGTGGAGTCTAGTTGCGAAGAATATATAATCCATGTTTGCTGAAAACTAACATTTTGTGTACTTAAGATTTATTTTCAGTTGAACGCTCCATTCGAATTTGTTAATTTGAAAGTTATCAGTTTTGGCCTCCGATGTCACGCATCCTGTGACTAAAATTAAAAATTAGCATTGTAAACAGAAGCAATCATTCTGAAAGAGAACACAGATTCTTATACCACACATTAGACTGCAATTATTCTTAATGATCACCAAGCTTATAGGAGTTAGACGAAATTAGCTTAAAACAAACCTGCTTGGATTTTCCTCTTTTCCTCAGAGCTTTTACATTTCGCCGCACCAAATGTTCTAGAAGAACAACTTTCCGCAAATTGGCTTCTAATCGACCTAGTCCAAACTGTAAAACGAATGCTCAATAAGAGAAAAATTTCGATGCGCTTTATTACAGACAGACAAGTGTTACAATGAATTATGGCTATTTTGATTAAATGATTAACTGCTCCTATGTGTTAGCATAACTGGAAGGAAAATGGATAAATTTCATAACTAAAATTAGCTTAATTTCTGCAGTCTTGCAACGACTGCGCGGGAGAAGGAATATTATTTAAACAACACGCTGAAAAGAAAAACATCGGTTGATGCGCACATTTTATATTGTCTCATTGATGTCAACGCTATAACAGGTGCTGATGTATATAACGATCGAGTGTGTTGTGATGATTGGTGGAGAGGTTAATAAGTTCTTTTATTTATATGATGCTAAGTGACGCAGTTTAGAAATGCAGCATATTTGCTATAGTCTTCCACGAATCAGAATGAACCTGTTACGGCCTTCTACACAATTATTGTGTATAATAATAACCACTGTTTTATATATTCGATTTGCGAAGCTACTTCCCCATTTACAAACATATCATACGCTTGTGCTTATAACTAATAACATGCAAGCTTATCAGGCTTTTAAATTATGGCTTTTTTCTGACTGACGTTTTCCTAGTCCACTGAGACAGTATGGTAAAGCTTGAAAACTACTGTAGATAATAAGCTAAATATATTATGTAATATATATTATGTAATATTACAAACAAAAGCGGATTTAACATTGGTCTCTTTAGCATAGCATAACTTTAATGTATGATTTTACCTTGTGCACACGAAATCCGTTTATCCAACCTGCACGTCCCTCCGCGGTGCGACAAGCAAATATGAGCATACATTTGTAATTCAGTGGCTGACTTATTTGTGGCTATAAATGAAAATGGATGCGAAACATGTGTTTTAATCTGCCTAAAGCAATTAATCAGAGAAGACCTTAATACAATTAGGAAAGTGGCAACAACGCCGTAAGAAGTATTGAACTCGAATATAAACATGTTGTCGCTATGTAAAATTGACGGACAACGGTCGTTATCGTATATATATAGGCCACTTGTTTAAATGAATAATGTTACTATAACAGATTGAAATAAGTCGGCCGGTTATGTTACAGCAGACTTTTGTTCACCTGATTTGTAGGCCGCGGTATCCGAATGGACATATTTCCCTGATGTAATTCAATAGCACAACAAACGTGAAGTTGTCACTTTGCTTGGGTGATAAGTGTTTAAACGATGTGTTTTAAAATACACAGACCTGCAGCTAACTTACTCGACAAACGATTATGTGGGAAGTTGGGGCCTTGAATGGTGCACGTTTGAGCGGATATATTGGTTGAAAGACGTCCACAGTAGATAAGTCTACAAGGATTCGCATGCAACTTGCCGACTTGAAGAGAAGCAAATGATTAAGTAGATATACGTGATCACTGGAATGGCACACTAAAAGCAACACGGGGGAAGAATGGTTTGCATAATGACTAGTATCTCCAGTCACCCATATGTTAAATGTGTCATATTATATGCCTAATTTGTAAGTTATTCCTCTGAAATTTTATGTCTTTGACCTAGCCAGCTACTCACTTTATTATAAATCAATGTTATTTGTATTAAATTTGCAATTAAAAGTTTTAGTATTTTGTGATATTGACTTCAAAATTAATCTACATGATTAAGAGTTGTTCATGAAGAAGTGAGCAGTGCTTCACATTACTGCAATGTGTATACATAAAAATACGTCTATTAATTCTTTAGTGTAAGGTTTTTAAGCAAATTTCTGTTTTAGTGGAACCCGAAAATGTTGACTTGGATCTAAACTTGGGCTATACTCAAAAACAAGATGCAAATGGTCGCATTTTTTATATCAGCTACCTTGGTGCTTTGTTACTTGCAGTCCTATGATGAATTAAACATCTGAACTTTTTAATCATTGAACCAGGAATAAAAACGTTAGCTTCACCGAGTTTCTTGCTACCATTGGGCAGTTACCCCAGGGCCTACGAATGTGAAGAAAGTGTTGTTGTCAAACATAATTTGTGCCATTAACAAAATTTTTGATGGACCTGTTTAGTTAACAATATTGTGTATACAAAGCTAAGTAGAGAAGTAAGTAAACAATTCTGCAATGTGACCAAAGTAAGCTCTACATCTGAAGCATAAGTGGAACCCGTATTGCTGGCTAATGGAACTTCTCGTTTCGGAGATTCAGTACATACGATAGTAACAGAGCTCATTATGATGATAAAGACAGTTAATATACAAATAACAAGGAGTTAATTACCACCCGTCGATTGCTGATGGAATAAAATACAGAGGAACCGTGCAGAAAGCAAAACATCTTGCGCCACGTCCACTGAGGTGAGCGGAACCATATAAATCCGGATGTCACATAGGGCGGAATGTGGTGCTTGATTTCAGACGCAATCCCAGTATGTGAGCAGCGATAGAGTAGGTTCACCTAATTTAGGTATGTAGGTAGACAGATGTTAACAAACTTTCCGACAAGTAGTGGTTTAACAAGCAGGTGAAACGGACAAATAAAAATTAAGTTTTCTGATCTCGTATACGCCAAAGGCTCCTGTCAGTTCTAGTTCACCCATTTTACTTTATAGCTTATGCCTGTGTTAATTAACCTACTCTAACCCATACATACATTGATCTTCTCCCTTTAAATGCCTTTGTTCACAACTTACTATTTCGACTTTTAAGGATCGTGGATCTCAAATGTATCACTGCAGGCGCTGTGAGAGCAAATATAACTATTGTATCTGCCATGGCTGCAAAGAGACCAATTAAGTTAATAAGCCACGGATCTAGAAGACTTGCAAAAGCATTTTTAAGCTATTTACAATTAGCGTATATGGTTTTCATGTAAGCGCATTGAACTGTTACACTCCGTTCCTAATGGATAACTATGCACTTTCTAGAGTTAATACTCAATTCCAACCCGCTGGTGGAGTTTACAAGTTGCAGATGCGCTATACATCTATATGCATTAATTTGTGGTCCGATTTTCCAAAGCAGTGTCCAGAATGTTTGGTTTTATATCAAGCCGCATTCAGTTGTACCATCCAATTTTGTTTTCACCAGTTGGATACATGATATAAATGCACTATCTGGTAATATACGGTGTAATTTATCCATATGCTTTTTGATTCAACATCTGCGGTTACGGTATATAAGTGAGTACGGTGGTGAGAGCATTTAGTCGTTGGCAAATGAGCAAACTGTTTAAAATTCTTTGGCTAATTGTTGCTCTAGGTAAGCTGTAGGTTGTCGTCATTTGTATGCATAAATATTCATTTGACACCAGTAGAAATTTAAGGGCTTCACGTCAGCACATTCCATCTGATGGTTAAGGCAAAAATAAACAGGTTACAAATTGTTATGCAAATACCTTAAGGTAGAAACTACTGATAGCGATACACAACAGCTACGATTCCAGGAGCGTATTTCTAAAATATGGTCATAGAATTTAGGCTCATATCTTTTGAACTATGACTTTTTACATGATGGTGCCGATTACACATTTGTTTCTGTTAAAAGCACAACTCTCACTTTATGGCAGCATTTTCTTTTGTCTCCCTCTGTATCAACTTATCTGCATACGCTTCTCACTCTCTGTCAGTTGAGCAGTCACAAATTGGATTAAATTGGGCCAACTTGATTCCAATTGTGCCATATAATCAGTAGACTTACTTCCTCAACCCTCAAATTAGAAAGATGATTAAGTGCACAGCAATTGAAATACCTCTGGTCTACCTAAAGAAGTTAAATAAAATAATCAACTTTAACTTATACTCAACTGTCAAATTTGATTAATATTTTTGTGTATTGCACATTATATTCCATATGAATAATAATGCGATGTCAAGAGGTTTGTCATGCCGACACACATCGCTTTTGCCTCTCTACGGGTAAAAGCTGTAAAAGAGAATGGCAAACTAGCTATTTAACTATTTGTTAGCATAAGAGCAAGTGTTACCATTTTGAAAAAGAAACGGTCTTGTCAGAATCAGCACAATCAAAAGTAGGACGTCAATTAAGTCAACCCGACAAGCGACGGAAAGACAAGAATGTAGTCATCTCAGAGCTTTGCTCAAACAAAATAAACAGAGAAATTTTGAGCTTTCCAGCACAGCGTGACTTCTCTAATAAATAAATGAATATATATAAATATATATATATATATATATATATATACATATAGCTATACATATATAAATAGCGAAATCTCCAGAGCTTTGTAGGTAAGGGACTGCTTGCATGCAATTAGAGTCACATGATTATTTAGGTGGAAGTTCTGTTATACTAAACATATTCTTATTAGGTTTAAACACAGAGAAAAGGACTAAGTCAAGAGACAAAAGGCTTTTTTTGTTTTAATATGGAAACCAGCCTGTTTTTTGTATCCTCCAGTAGAGCCGTTATGCCTTTTTAGATGAAATAAATCACCATATTGGAAACCAAACGACATTTAGCGATATGGATATTAATCCTAATTTACCCCATTAACTTAGTCATAATATTTTCTAACTAGTGCTTAATTTAGACAGAGTCCACAATTTTGCTCGTTGCCTCAGACGATGTGAATTCTAGGATCACATTTATTAGAATTTCTATTATTTTTCCTTTAACCACCATTATATTTAATTATTGAGGATTATGAGTATTGAACACCTCTTGGTTGAAAACATGTATCCCTGATACCTACACAGCAGTCGTTAATGTTATGCGCTACCTGTTATCCGGTAAAGGTAATCTCATAAATCTACTTACGTACATAAAAGCACACCAGCCGCTCGTAAGAAACATTCATCTTAGAATCATATTCAAGCTCTTTTTAAACGCCTCTGTCTTTTCTTCTGAAATCGTATTCACGATCAACCCAAACTGACAGTTGATTAAATGCTACCCAGTTTTACAACAAGTTCCATTCTCGCTGTTTGATACAGGTGATAGCAAAGTGCCAGCAAATGTTTAGTAATCGCCATTTGAGGGAAGGATCCTATGTAACTATCGGGACGGCTCATATTGAGTTAGCTACAATCAGAAGTAAAAATTAGCAAATCGTAATGCGATAGATAACAACCCATCCGATTTTGGTTTGAAAACGACAGCAATTGGTTTTCGCTTATTTGCTCTGGGGTGCCTGCTATCCCGGACTTACAATTACCTAACATAGGCCTTGTTCAGTTTCACACTCAGCAGATTGGGTAGGCTTTACTTTGCAGACAACAGTTAGTTCTACAAAGTAGAATCCTTATGTTTTACGTACATCAATTCATTAAAAGTAAAGTTTGCTGGTTGCCTTTATTATTTAAAATATCTTTGAATGATTTAACCAGCTGTTATGAGTGGTCTGTTAGTGCTGTGAGAATAGACATAGCTACACTGAAAACCGCTCAATTAGTTGCAAACCGTTTTCAGTCCGTGTCATCCAAAATTCTGATGAGGACTTTTGGATCATACACACCAATGTATTAATGAAGCAAAAAGATATTCAGCTTGTCTATCTGGATAATTATGAACCAGGTTTGATAACGTAATGTTTTTACACTAGCACTAGTTAGTCTTAATCTTATCAAGTTTTAGTTACCCGGCTATATCGCAATCATCCAGCTTCGCCTTTTTGAAAAAAGCATGCTTTTACTGTTTAGTGAGTGAGCAAAAATCATATCGGATATTCTATTCCATTTAATTTGAGTTAATTAAATTACTACTTTTCACATTCACCGAACAATAGTTGTGTGCACACGCACAAGTGTTATGGTTTATGATACTGTTGATTCACGAAATTTAGAGCGATATTCAAATCCCGATATAGTTATAAAGCGTAATATTTTTGCTATTGATATACAAAATGCATGGTGCTAACCAACTGAAAGTGCGGTTTACAGTCCAAATAAGACAAATTGTATCCGCGAATCAAATCCCTAAGGAGATAGGGATTATATAAAATATACTTATTGTCTCATAATAAAGGGGTTAAAACCGGTGAAATTGAATGTCATCTTACCATGTTGAACACCATGTGCAATTTGTATTTGTTAGGGTTTTCGATCAAACAAAACCGAGGTTCATATTCTTCGAAAGGCCAGACAGCTACTAAACACTTTCTTACTACGCAGATAATCAGTTCATGGTCTTCAATAGGATGTCCTGCAGTAGAGAAAAGCAATTCATATACACCAGTATTATTGAAAAGTTTAAAAATGTTTAACTATTAGCGTATGCCCAAAACTGGACACATTCCACTCTGTAACATTTAACCTTATGATTATTAATGGTAATATTATTTTACTACAATCATTACCTATTGGTCTAGCATTTTTTCAATAATTTACTGAAAATTATTACAGATTCCTCTGTTTCATACATGTTAATTTAGCAGTTTTATCACGCTTATATTGCTCAGGATGAACCAGCATATCAACACCGTTATTGGCACTTCAATCATTTATCTACATTATTTTTTTAAGATAAGAATCTGTATGTAAGTTGATGATTACTTGTGAGTAAAGGGGATTGGGTTGTAGTATAATTGTGCAGTTATATTTTAGGTTTACAAAAGAGGATGAGCGCAGTATCTCCTAGTCAACTGTTATGTTGCAAGCTGCCGTCGACATCCATGGCACAAGCATGGCACAAAAGGCTGGCTTCCGGTGACTTTGCGGACGGAACTCGGCAGGGATCTGAGAAACGCGCATCAGTGAAGAGAAACATAAGGTCGAAATGGCTGTCAGCAGCATTCCCAACGTATGAAGGCTGGAAAGTTGAGTGCAACGAGCTTCACCCTTGTTTCGTATTAATTACTGGTAAGTGGATATAGGAAACTGTCACATTTCACACCGGAATGCGTTTATTAAAATTATCAACATCTGGAAACTAAGATTGCTACCTCGTATTTTCCAGTATTTCAACTCGATTGCAACTAAATGAAAACCGTTTTAGTCTACCAATCGTAAAGTTGTAGATGATTTTGAATTGTGTCGGTGAAAACAACTTGGGAACATCCGACGACAACAAGTGCATTACCTGACAGAATGATTAGGTTAACGGAGATACAACTAAAATGCCGTCACCCATAAAAATCAGAAATTAGAATGTCCGCTTAATTACATGAAACCTCATAACATCTGACTGTTATGTGTAATGTCGCATCCCATAGTAGCATCCCATAGCACTTGAGTTGATCCAATATTTGACAAAACTTGAAACACATTTTACCATGTCTACTCACTGATCCTGCTTAAAAATTGAGAGAAAAATATAAGGCAAACCTTGGTAAAAACAAAATGCCTGATTTAAAGCGCTTGATGAAATAACGATTGCAGTAGGAAGCACGTTCTAACCTATGTCCAAACTACAGGTAAGTGTAGGGAGTTTTTGCTACTTTGTTTATCCCACACACTCAGACACTCATTTTGTAACAAAATGCAATTCGTCAGAAGAAGAAAGGCCACAGTGACATTTATCAATAGCTGGCAGGATCCTCGCAACAGGCGCTGGGTTCTAACTGACATTTAATGAGAAACTGCATGAACACAAGTATTTTGGGTGGCGATCAACAAGCAAGTTTCTTCCGCAGGGAAATGGACATTCGTTGCATATTTTTGCATTGCAGATCTCGGAACTTCTACTATGGAATTTGTGAGGTTTGTAGTGAACATGTTTCTTTATCTTTGCAATCATATCCGGTCGTTTTGAATGCGAAGGGAAACGTTTTATTTCTACCGCTAATTAGATTGTTTCAATGTAATCTCCGATTAAATGGATCGCAAAATAAAGTTTGATTCCAGCTTTTGTGTAAAGGATAAGCACCGTCATAATTTATTTCGAAAAAGTGCTCGTGGCCATCGCACAATAAACACGTTACAACTTCATCCGTGTAAAACGCAATGTGACGTTAGCACTTGAGTTGTTCATTTCAATGATTGTGCGTATTTTATTATAATAGTTGTTGTAGTCAGGATCCAAAAATGGATTTATGTTTGGGTTTTCCAAAGCAGCTCCCAAATACATTTGCGTTGCTCGATTTATTAACTATGTTCCTGCTACAGATTAACGGAGATTAGAATGACGATAGTGGTTGCAAAAAGCCCAAGTGAAGTAATGCAGTTATATACTGATCTGTTTCCAAGAGACCTTAATCCCTGCTGGATAGTCCATCGGAAGATTTCAAGCCCATTTGCACGCCCCATACGTCTTTGTGCAGGCGTGGCATCCGATCAATTATGCCATCATTGCATTAGTTCATTTTAGGGCGGTTGATATGCAATTAAAATATTAAGCCATTCAGACTGCTACAACATCCAAATCTGTCGATTCGACGCTTTCGTTGTTATGCAGCAGGTATGGATAAATCGTCTCGCGTGGATTTATTTATTACTTTGGAAGCTTCACTCCTCCAACTCAAGAAATAGACGCATTCGTGTTCAACGATGAAAAGTAAAAATCAATAACGTTAAACACCTTACTGAGACGAATGAGTCGTATATGTCCAACGGTCCTTACTTCAGATTCTACACAGAAATTAACGAAAAATTATAGGACAATTATATAAAGAACATTGATAAATTCATCCACTCCAGTTGACAGGTTAACCAAGCACTCGGGATCAAAATATGACTTGCCGCAGCACTGAAAAACATTATGTTCCATAGGGCTGTTACCACCAAGAAAAAGGACAGAACGGTGTCGAAAAATATGAAGCAAGGAAGAAACGGTTGGGTTGAAAAAGCAAAACGAAAGACAACGTGATCGTGGAACGGATACAGGGTAAAGAGTTTAACAAAACGAAAACATATTATCTAGATTGTGTGCACACATGCTTTCGCGGCGTTGATAATGTCCACCTACATATCAACCACATTTTCATTCAATGTTTCCATTGTGTACTTCGGTTTTAAGCAGAATTTTGGCTAGGTATACATTGCTTGGACTCACACTTAACCAATCCCTAGATATATATGCACACCTAATCATATATATATATATATATATATATATATATATATATATATATATATATCCAACTCCTCTTCTGCGCCTAGACAAACAATCCTTAACAACTTTAGGGTTACAATAAATTTTAAGTTACTGAGGTGGCAAAAAGAATCCAAGCGCATTCCAAAGTATCCACGGATCTTTTAAAGGGCAAGATAATACCCGATTACCCAAGTCGATGTAAGGACCTTAATTGGGGGAACCCACTGTAATCTTTAACTAAATAGATTATACGCAAAGAAGCTTAGCTAAGTCAGTGAATCTCCCTCATTTAGAGCTGGACATTAGTTGCTCAGTACATACACCTTTCGTTGGGTCGGCCATCAAACTAAGGTCTTACCCACACAGCAGTTGCAGCATCACGTGGCTAGATTACCATGTTCCACCGGAAGAAAGCAAGGTGCAGTTACTTCCTTTGATGCTGAATCCCACCCGCTAATTCGCAGTGTTGATAAACGGACATACATAACTCTTATATGAAGAAGGCTTTCCAAGCAAATTTACTTTATCGCCTGTTACAGATTTAATATTACATCTCAGGTGTAATTCTGTATAACTGCTCTAGTTCAGAGTGTAGAAAGCGAATACCCATTGCCATGCATACTACTGAGCAGAGTAAATATGCGTGTATGCAACTTACCTAATAGAAACCTCAGACCCAGTCTCATTATCCGTAACCTTAAGGCTCTAATGTAGGCGGTTTACAGCGCACTGCGTGGCTTGGGGTTGGCAAATTACCAAACCAGCCTTTGGTGCATTTAAGCTGCAAGTTCTCCAGACACAAACTTTCACGTTTCCCTTAAGTGAGAAACATTATCGTAATTGTTAGGTTTAGTTTAAATTACGCGGATGTTGCCAACTCTAGCGAAGCATTTGTGACCAGGTTGCTTCTTGCAACCCAATTGATGTTCCCAAATTACAATATTTTACCTGCTGTATGAAAACTAACATAATATTTCTAGTGGACTCACCGAATCCAGGAAGGTCAGGTAGTTCTTCATGCAATTGCCAAAATCGCAAATCAACACAACGATCGAAGGTACGACACAGATCCGCCGCGGTAGTTGACACATCTACTTCTATTTTCTTTGAATATCCTTGGCCATCATGCACGACCACCTTTATATCGCTTGCATGCTGAAGGCGACACACCAGCGAAAAATGCATTCAGTGAATGAAAAATGTTGGCCAAATATGGCCTAATACTGTAGACATTTTTGAGCAAAGGCATTAGGAGCAGTAGGAGCTAACCGAAAAATTATGCCGATGTGCACAATTTATCCCTGGATAGTATGCACACTTCATGCATGAATATAAATCTTCATCCCAAAGCCACCGAGGTTCCAAGTGCTGGAATGATGATATTAGCATAGCTACTATTCTTACTCAGTTCGATTTAGCTGTAAAAATAAAAGAAACCAAAACACAGATCCCAATACCAAATTATGAAACCAGCACCCCTAAAAATTATAGAATACACATTGAATAAGCCACTGGCAACGTGTGTAAAAATGTATTTCGCAAGCATCGTAGTAGATTGAGACATTCAAGCTTCGCTGTATGTTACCTCGGCAGACAACGAAGCGGGTCACATCCTTTGATAAATCCTTAAGATGCGGCATTAGGAATCAAACCCAAATACAAACGTTGCAGCTTTAAAAGAGCTATTAATGGCCTCTGGTAATTTCTTGCCACTCAGGTGCTTTTCATTAAATCCTGTCTGAAGTAATATCAAGTTTGTTACATGTACCTGTTAGCCTCATCATAACTTTGGTTTCTGCCTTCAATAAAGTTACTTTTGAAATTTTTACGTTTGCTCAAGTAAATGATCTACTATTTGCAATTGCATTATAAACACGTTGAGATAAAACAAGTGAAAATTTTAGACTCTAATAGGGGATTGGAAAGAAAAAGCTAGGTTAGTAAACCAGTGTTCACGAACCTCATTTGGAGGTTACAATCCTCAGGAAATGAAGTGATACGTATCGCTGTTATAGGAAATTTTGAAAACCTGTGTCATTGACTATGCCTGGACATAAAAACAGTTACCAAAAACAGTAAGGAATCATACGACCTTCCAACAGTGTCGCTTTGTTGAAAGAATTACCCTACATACAAAGCGATGGGTGAGTTGAATTTCTTTGTAAACTTTCATTACATCTAAACACATTCAGGCAGATGTCTCATGCTCGAAAAAGCACTGCAGATCCATTTCATCATTTAGTCAATCATAATCAGGGAGCATTGCATCTGATCAATTCAGGGCTTAGCTACACAACTTGATTGTTGACAGTTTGTGATTAATACCACTGGGTTACGAGAGAAGGCGATGGCCATTTTGACTAAATTGCCAAATAGACTGCTCGCCGCTGACGGTTCCAGAGAAGAAGAAATTGCCGCTGTGTTATCCGGATAAGTGCAGTGCGTCTGACTGAGTCTAGATGTAATGAATTGAAATTTATAAAATTAGCTGAGTCATCCCTGAGTTTAATAACGTCTCTTGATAGCTTGTGATATCTGACTAAAAGGTATTTCAGCGAAAAATCAAATTTCAAGTTTCTCAAAGCGGAAAATATTGCACAACTATGTCCTAAACATAATATAATTGTAAACACCATTGACTAGTTTATTGCTAAATATATATAACGAGAAAGATTGTATGCATTCACATTGTGTAGATTACCCGTGCCTGATAAATAATACTCTTGAAAAGTCGAACAATTATGTGCCCAGATCCAGGGAGGATTTTAGAAGGGGGCATTTGAGTAGTAACATTCGTTCTAAATTAAATGTGCATTATAACATTATAGGTACGGCGCGCAACAATGTTAGTACGTGCTTAACATAGCAGTTTGCCGAATACGAGCATAATGAGCGCCTTAAAACTCAAAGTATAGTCTAGTTGATGAACATTGCAGGTGTGGAATTTGAGCAACTTTCGCGGGCTAAATTCTTTTGAAATAACCCGATGTCTGAGATTAAGTTTTGATGATTCAAAAGCGATTTTTCAATCCAAGCGAAACTTTTCTACTGTCGAATACACTAGGAGTGAATGCCATCATCTACGATATGATATTTTTGGTAACATTTATTCCTTATCGGAAAAGGAGCTATGGGATTCCTCAGCGTGCTATGTTTGCAGCCCACTGCACCGTTACCTTGTTGCATCAGTTAGCACCCGTGCTTTCATTGGGATATTCGCTAGTTAATTCGCTGATAACAGACCAGAAATATATAAACAAGGAGAAGAACTCTTTACATGACTTAGAAACAGCAGAACTGTGTATATGATGGTGTTCCAGGAACATAGATTCTAGCAAATCAATATCCAAACAACAAGACACTGTCATCACAGTGCCAGCATATATTCCCTCCATTACGTGATCGGCTTCTGGCGTAAGAGAACATAGTACCATTATTACTGTAAGTGCAGTAGATACAAGAGTTCTTAGACGTCGGATTCAATGTGCTACACGGCATGCGACATGGTCAGGTATTACTGCATCGACATTTTCAGTGATTCCGTTACACTTATAAGTAGTTGAGTACATGTTGTCACTCAATTGACAGCGTCGTTGCTTTGGCACTGTCGATATTTAAGTGTTGGAACAACCAGTATTCGTCTTTGCAGCTACCGACAAGATCAACACCAAGTTTTCTTACCAATCGATTCGTGCTTTGAGTTTGATTAAATTTATCACAAGACTTGAAAATGCATCAAAATACAGGTTCAAATTTAGCACGCAGCATGATACATAATACTTAAGCTCATAGCTTATATCAAACCACCACAAAATACAATAAAATTAGAAAATGGACCACTAAAAATTGAGCATCAAAACCGTTTGACAACTTACGCAGCACGCTTCCCTTGTGTTTACTGATAGGTTGCGTTTATTCAACAGATCTGGATAGATTTCCTTACTGGAGTTTCCATGGATAAAATTGGGCTCTCTTATGCCGTCTGAACGATGATATTTGAGAAGCCATTTCGAAGAACGTTTTCTCATTGCTAAAAGGCGATGCGTGTGGACTGCATAAGCCATCAGATAGTTTAAAGCAAGCGACAAGTTTTCCATAGAAAATTAAGTAACCTATCATTTGGGATACAGTCGGAAGCCATCCATAAATTGGCAGCTCAATCATTCTGGCTGTAGTGCGCAAAGTTCTGGTTATAACAGAACACAAATCTCGAATGATGTATGCAAATCGCTGTTGCTTATTAACACAAGGTGGCTAGACATCAGTAAATGGAATTTTTTGATTTCCTCGACGTATATATATATATATATATATATATATATAATTGTCAACGGAGTGAAACAAACCATAGGGCATCATTTCAACGGTTGATTAGAAGTGTTTTTGTTATCTTGTAGATTACGTCATAATTTGAACATCCTAGACGTCATATCGCGTAGTGGACTCGAGTGGATGGGTTCATTCCTATTATTTCGAACTTCAGAATCGGCAGGAAGTACGCAGCTAAAAATTCGTGAGGTCAGCAAGGACTTATATGTTACTATTACTGCGCCGATTATAAAATAGTTTCCGAAAGCCTTGACCTGTGTGTCTACACAATCCTTGGTTTTCTTCGCCCAATCTTTTACTGGCAAAGAAGAAAGACTAGACATATGTTGCACGTATTTACAATTATAATGGACTTCTTGCCGGTAGCACACGAATGTAGCCTGAAACATAATAGTTATCCAGCATGCGATCCTGAGCTTGCAGACATTCCTTATCCCAAGTATGTAACTCATATATACTAGTATAATTATTTTTCAGCTGAAGATGAGGTTTGTCACGTCAACCTTACTTATATACAGTTGGCATTAAATTCCCAACGGTTAATGTGGCCCAAAATGGTGTAAAGCTGTATTAAATCCGAAGAAGAATTCCCATGATGTTATTGGTGCACCTTTTGACCAAGCGCTCCATCATCCCGATTTTAAGCAGAAAATTATACGCAAGCACTGAGAAAATAAATTAGGCTAAATAAAAGCATTTCCATAGCTATATATCCATTTCCATAGCTGCATAGTTGAGGTATTTAACACCGGAACCCATAGTGTGACCACAAATATCGGAGCGCAGAAAACTACACGTAAACATCCATTTTATAGCAACAATTTCAGCAGATTTGTTTGTCATCAAACATTTTACAGTATTTAATAAATATACGCATAATTATTAAGCTTCCAGGACTATTTCTCAACTTAAATCTTGCCAATTAAACGTTCCCACGGAGCTTTGGTTTTTGCTCCCACTATGTGTGCACCGTCACTTCAAAACTTTCATCTCATCATTTGTCCATCATTTAAAATCGTAATCATAACCTTTGCCCCGTACGAGTACAATGTGGTTAACCACTTATGTACCACTGTTTAAGTGAATATCCCACTTTGGTGGGACGGAGGAATGGAGACCAGTTAATTATCCAATTTACCTAGACTGTGAGCTGGAGGCGATTGGGTTGTACAAGTTTGACTTCTTTAGGTCCCTTATAAAAATAATTATCCTATGCTAAATTTTTAATTTATATACAACGTTTATTAGACGCTAGAATTACATTACACTAAAATAAGGTTTTCTATTCCAGGTACATACTTCCACTCGGAAAATAGATGCACATATGCAGAAGTGTGTTGCCCGTCTGTCAGACAATAAACTGACCAAAATTTCCATACCTTATCAACTATCATTCAGTGCTGTGCGAGCAAAAGTGCTTCGCTTTACTATCTGAAAAGACAGTCTGAATATGACGGGAGCTGTTGCTTCCAAGAAATGGCGTACACCGCTTTAGTGACCTTGATGTTCATAATTATGGGTAAAGACTATGACTTGGGCAATAGGTTTACGACCACTAATACAATCGCAGTCGGTGTGCCAAAATCCTTTCCTAATCGTGGATGAAAATTTTTGACAACCTTTACCGTCATAATTAATCTGATGATAAAATTGGCTCTTGCCCATATACCGGGTGATCAACCTTTAACCGCCAAATACTGTATAGCCTTAGATAAAATAGTTTGCTTGCGAACTGTCTTGACACGGTCTCGATCAAAATGATATTGTTCTGGTACACGATAGTGGCAAGCCTTCTGAACGCGAAGAAACGCAGACGCTATGCAGGAAGCCGGATATCACATAAAACCGTCCAGCCGTAGCCACCTGTAATAGACTTCGGTAATATGTGTATGCCAAAGATTTGTAACACAAACGAGGGTAGCAAGGGTGCATGTAGCAACTGACTAATCTACAAATTTCTTGGCTCCCTGTGATGACGCGATCGTGTTTGTCAAATATAGGCGAGCAGATCGCCAATTCGCCACGCTGTTCGGCGAAGAGTGCTGTTAACTACGGGCGTGACACTGCAATGGCTCATTGGCTGCTGGAAGCTTCGTTTCACAAAAGTAGCTAGGAGTGCAGAAAATTCAATTGACGCTCACAGTTTCATCGCACAGAGGGTAGGGCACACTCAGTCGAGCTGGTGCTTATGAAGTGGTCAAGTTGTTGTGCTATTAACGATGCTGAAACGAACGATTCCAAACGAGGCTGTTGTTCGCCGACTGAACATTCATTCACCAATCTGACTCAGGAAAATTTTGAAACGGTTAGGCTAGTGCAAGTTAATTGAGTATGGGCTCCACATGAAGTACCAATTAAATGATGTTAGATTTCTGCGATAATTCCAGCTGAATGTTGCAGAATTCCGCTCTAACCTGTTTTACACTCTTGGGGCACTACATGAGAATTGGAAAAATAGGACGCTTTAACTGAAGATTTTTCATCTTGGATTGAAGAACAATCATTTTGGACTGGAGATGCATGGGTAAAATTTGAGTCTACACTGAAGATCGTGAGAAAAAATGATTTGATAATGTCAATATGGAATTTCGTATGTTTCCTCAAAACCGCACTTCAGTAGATTTTATTCGGTAAGTAGTATTATAATCATCAAGGCAAAATACAGCAAGGATATCCCAGAAGCCAGAAATGAATATGGAATGTGGATAGACCGCGGAGTGGAGTACTTATTCTCATTATCCAGTGGACCCGATTTTGAAGAAGGAAGGAACTTGTGGTTAACAGGTACCAAACAAACTATGTGAGTGACGGATCAAACGCTTTTTTAATGGTGCTTCAAAGGTTAAGTGCTTTTGAGCACCGCTGATGAAAACTGACGATAATCAATTGTGATTGGATGGACAGTACATAATCAATTTGGACTGGCGTACACCAAGTACTATTGCAAAGCAGAGAGGAATTGCGCAACAGTTCGGATGCTTAAAATTTCTGAGCGATATAAAGTGATCCTTAAGTACATAAATAATGCTCTGTGCACAGTTTAAATAATACGCTCTCAGAAGTTGACGCAAGATAAACGTCAACGTTTACTCAACCCATTTTGATAGTGTATGAAAGGAAGTGTGCTCAGTGTCAAATACCTCATACTGCGTTTCACAACTAATCTAAAGAACACTATTGTGCAGCTCAGATGGGGAAGGTCAGCCATAAAATCGTGCGTAATGCCTTGTGCAAGGTTACCTTGAGGAATCGCTTTATGGTTTTGGGCAACGAATTTCGTCTAATGGCAGTAATTCGAAACACCTTATTCCGTGGAATGGATGACGTTTCTTTCAAGCTAAATCACCAATCAACCTGTGATTCCACATTTTAAGCTAAATAGCAAATACTGTAAAAAACATATTTGCGTCTTTCACAAGTTTATTAAGTACCGTTGCTGATTTGTGCTAACAGCTCACATTCCAAATGGTCTAACCACCAGTCCGAAAAAACGACAACGGACCATTCGGCTTATTGGAGCAAACCGGCCGTGCGCATCTTCATGCTCCTTCATGAACAAAACTAGTGAAATCTAGTGGCTTACGTCACTTAGCCAACAGTAATGAGGAAGAATGCAGAACGCCTTCAATTGCAATATAGCTCGGATATAGTTCAACCTATCCTTCACCATCGTATGCCTACCAATGATCACAACTCCCACTACACTATTGATATGCATGCATGGTATCCAAAAGCTGCGACTTGCATGTTGTCTACTAATGAGTAGTACGCAGTTTTATTAATGTTTACTGACTCATTCCAGCAGTTTATCAGTAATGCCATTGGTCAGCGACCAAGATATCGGGTTGTTGACCACTAAGTTTTACAGGCTAAAAGTCAGCTGCGCGAACAATTGGAAGACGGCGTTTGAGTATTTTAGTAGCCCTTAGCATATGTTATTAAAGTGATTGGCCGAACTATTGGAACCAACAAGAAGCAATTGTTGCGGCTCATCGATCGTGTGAAAATTTTGAGTTCGTCGACAGCATTAGAATTAAAAATGTGGACTTCAAGCAACTATTTTCCTTTGATGCGACGTCATTGTTTACTAACACCGCGGTTAAGACTGTTGATTACTTTACTGAATACATAGAACGCACAGTTAAACCAATTTGCATGCAACCTGGGTAAATTGAACATCTAGCTTTCCTGGATGTTAAAATGTCACGTTGACCAGCGGGCTCACTGCAATGCAGAATCTACAGTAAATGGAAATGGACGCTTTAATAAATGCACTCTGATAGTTTTATGCTAACCTGACGGAAACAGAACCTATTCTGGTGTCTTGTATGAAGATCGACGAAACGTGCTCCGCGAACACACTAGAAGCAGCAGGCGCCATCATAAGGATCCTGTCCCTTAGTCTTCAACTGGCGTTAACTAGACAATTTATTTTGCATCGCACATCGTCACTTGTGCACGGTAGTTCTAGTGGCATGATTACCTTGGCTCACGAGAAAATACAAATACAACGCCAACTAGTTCCTAGATTTTCATATGAGCAGAAGCCCGGACGGGTCGGTCAAACGGAGTGTTAATATAAAGGTAACGTGGACCGGGCTATACGCGCATTTTGTCAGCCCAGTCCCACCTAACCGGAAACAGAAGCGTGTTCGATGTCTATGCGAGAGAGCAAGAATGGTGTGTAGTGAGGACATAC